ACTCAAATGAAGCTCTCATGAAAGCTCAAATGAATCTCAAGCGCTCAAATGAAGCTCTCATGAATCTCAAATGAAGCTCTCATGAAGCTCAAATGAAGCTCTCATGAAGCTCAAATGAAGCTCTTACGGGACTCACATGGGACTCCCATGAAAGTCCCATAAGCCTCAAATATTTCATGCGAGGCTCAATTGAGCGGGTGGTGTACCGGGGGGCTCAAATGGTTGATTGGCGAGGGTGTGCCTTAGACCTTTTTCACGCTGGTCAATGGTGCGAAAGTCAAGACCTGTGTGTAGGGTCCTTCCTGACACGCGCGTGTGGCCCCACAGGGCACGCACATGTGTCGCAACTGTTGCGCATGTGTCACAACTATTGCGCGTGCACTGTACAACACGATTGCAATAGAACAGAGCATATTATTGCCCTGTAACGCACTGTACAACGCATGATCGTGTTCATGATCGTGCTGTACAGCATGACCGAGAAATATTGGTTCTTTTATGGGCAGTCATAGAAACTTTGAAATTTATTGCAGCGCATCACTGGTCTATCACAAATCGTTACTTGTTCCCCCAAATCTATCACAATTCGTCGTCCGGGAATCGCCCCTCGTCGTTCATTATTGGCAAATTCTATCACGGATAGTTACAATTGAAACTTAGCACAATTTGTTATGATTTCGATGACCCGCCTTGATACACTGTGCATTAAACGGGACTATATTTTGGGCGTATTTGTCTTATATGCGTGACCTTTTCTATGCAAAGATACATGGTTACAGTTCAATCAATATAACAATCAAAAAAATCGACAAAAAATGCAACAGTGTGCGATTAATTATATTGTTCACTTTTACTTGCACAGTATATACTTGTGTCGGGTCCTCCTAGATAAAAGCGCAATTGCCATTATAATACAGCATTTATTTAAAGGGTGAGCTTCTAATTGAGTAATATCTATAAGCGTGTGTTTATTATGCAGTGACAAATACATATTTTATAATTGTATAGCATCGAATTATTGTATGATTATATACTTGTATAATCATGTCTGCACAGTGTGTCAAGGCGGGTCATTGAAATGATGACAAATTGTGCCCAGATTCAATTGCGACTAAGTGTAAAGAACTTGCTAACAACGAGTGGCAAGTATTGATACCCAAGTGACGAGTTCTAATAGATTCGGCGGAACAAGTGACGATCTGTGATAGACCTATGATGCGTGTGATGAATTTCAAAGTTTCTATGACTGCCCGTATAATAACTCGAGAAATATCTCGGTTATGGCGTGTGGCACAGGGATTGCTCGGGATTTCGGTTGAAAAACTGAATCCCGCGCTGACCTACGAAACGAGTAATTTCTCGCGAAAGTTACGCCGCCTTGCGTTATCATTTCAGAACAACTACAAATCGGCTACTCCAATTTTTTAACAGATAAAACAGTTATATAACTGTAAGCTTGCATGAATGTCATGAGAGCTACATTGGAGTCACATGGGAGTTCATGAGTGCTCACATTTGAGTCAACAGGGGCAATCGGTTCAAGCACAATTTGAAGCCAAATGCCCAAAAATTGGAGCAACAGTTTTAAAGTAAGGGTGCACATTCATAAGGGTGGCTTTGGGGGCATTTTTTGTGTAAAACCATTAATGTCCCCTGATTTGCGCGCGAAGTGTAGTTCGGTTTGTAAAGCTGGTGTGGGGTGAAGAAACAACACTAGCGTGGGGAGTCCATTTTGTTCAGTGTTGAACTGATAAAGCGCGCGCGGGGGTTGGGCGGAACACAAGCCCAGCGGCACAAATAACCAAGTACACACCATGAAAATGTCCCCATCAATTTGACGTGGGGGGATAACAGATTGCTAAACCATAGATACCTCTAAGCCACTACCATGAATACAACATGTCAAAACGACTTAGAACGAGGCAGACTTTCACTGCCCGCTATGTGTTTAGGGTTTCATCATCGCTAGCATACGGTTCACGGCGTGGCAAGATCGGGGAAAAACTTGGTGATGCGGCGACTCGTTCTCCAGTCGTGGCATGACATAAACCGCTTGAGAGCACGCTCGCCTGGTGTGGGAAGGCGCGATACGCTCTCGCCTTCCCTACCTTATTCCCTCCGCCCGACATCACGCCCTGGCCGTGCGCCAGCCAGTGCCGCCTTGCGCCCTCTTTGCCGCTAAATCGCAACCTCGCCTACTCATCTCCACATCGCCGCAACATCGCCGCAACATCGCCGCAACACCCACACGCCTAAGCGCCCCAATCGCCGCCACATTGCCGCCTCGCGCGTGTAAAATCCAAATCGCCGCCAGGTCAGGAGCTTCGTCGTGTCGCTCATGCAATAGCCCGAGCATCGCCGTATCGCCGAGACATCGCGGCTTTTCGGCGCGTCGCTGCCTAAATGGCGTCACACCTTCGCATCGCCGTCACATTATCGCATCGCCGCCATGACGCACTCTCATGAGACACATCGCCGCCTCGTGAGGCACGTCTCTTTGCGTGCAGTCCGGCCGAGGTTGGCAACTTGAACTCTTCTTTTGGCGAAGAACCCGTTGTGAACGTTGGTGAGAGCAGACGGGACCCGGCCAACGGCCACATCTCTAACACCTGCAACGAGGGTTGCTTGGGGTACGTAGGGCTAGCGAGTATGAGTGCTGGTATATGAGCTCGAGCACAACTCTCTTCCCTACCACATATAGACTCACCCCATTGCTGTAGCACCGCTCACCCCGCTGCTCTAGCACCACAGACCGCTGATCTAGCACCACTCACCCGGCTGAACTAGCTCCACTCACTCCGCTGCCCCTTCTCAACACATCTCGCTGCACCATCGCATCTCACCGCATCATCGCCACCACCGCCACCTCTCGCCACCCATGCCAACCACCGCCACCCATTGCCACCTACCGCATCGCACCGCCACACATCGCCACGTACCGCCACGCACCGCCACCCATGCCACACACCACCACCCACTGCCACCTACCGCCATCTACGGCCACGCACCGCCAGGGTCAGCCGCTCACCGCCACCCATGCTCACTACCCTTCCCCCTCACGACCTTGATGTCTCGGTGTCTGCAGTCCATTCGAGGGTGTCTGCCGGCGACGACCCCGCTGTGAACGTTGGTGCGAGCTGCCGAGATCCGGCCGACGGCCACATCTCTACCACCTGCAACGAGGGTTGCTTGGGGTACGTAGGGCGAGCGAGTAGAGTGTGGGTGTATGAGCTTGAGAGCAACTCACCCCCTTGCCTCACTTTAACTCAACTCGGGGCCACATCTCAACTACCCCGCTGCCACATCACAATTCACCCCGGTGCCACATCTCATTTCACCCCGCTGCCAAATCATAACTAAACCCATTGCACAGGTCGCAACTCACACCGCTGACCTAGCACCCATCTTGCACGCTCACCAGGCATAGCTCACAATGCACCCTGCTGCCCTATCACGACTTTCACCCTACACCATCACAATGCTTCCCCCCCTTACCCCACAATACAGCCCCCCACCCTCTTGCTCCCCCCCCCCCCCCCCCCCCCCCCATCCCCTTCCACCCTATTACTCCATCCTACCAGCTCGGATGAGGGGGCAAACTTGAACTCATCGGAACAGGGGGACGGATGGGTTGCACCCTCGATTGTTACCGGGCTCAGGCGCGTAGTTAGTTTGTTTGACCCCGTCCGCGCGTTGCAGTTTTTCATCCATTTGTCACTCGCATGCAACCGAGTGGGGGGTTGCAAAGGTCGTATGCGACTTAATGCATGAAATATGGATTGGGCTGGTCTTGGGTTGCGGTGGAAGTGTGATGTGTGCAAGAAATGCTGATCATGGCGGTCATTAGAGCGACAAGCATCCAGTCCGGACCAACTGGTGGGGGGGTGGGAAAAGGTGCCAGTGATACAGATGTGGCCTCATTTGCATCGGCTGGCATTGGTTCTCAGGTTATGTGGGAGTCATGTGGCATCGGCGCGTAGTTAGTTTGTTTGACCCCGTCCGCGCGTTGCAGTTTTTCATCCATTTGTCACTCGCATGCAACCGAGTGGGGGGTTGCAAAGGTCGTATGCGACTTAATGCATGAAATATGGAATGGGCTGGTCTTGGGTTGCGGTGGAAGTGTGATGTGTGCAAGAAATGCTGATCATGGTGGTCATTAGAGCGACAAGCGTCCAGTCCGGACCAACTGGTGGGGGGGTGGGAAAAGGTGCCAGTGATACAGATGTGGCCTCATTTGCATCGGCTGGCATTGGTTCTCAGGTTATGTGGGAGTCATGTGGCATCGGCGCGTAGTTAGTTTGTTTGACCCCGTCCGCGCGTTGCAGTTTTTCATCCTTTTGTCACTCGCATGCAACCGAGTGGGGGGTTGCAAAGGTCGTATGCGACTTAATGCATGAAATATGGAATGGGCTGGTCTTGGGTTGCGGTGGAAGTGTGATGTGTGCAAGAAATGCTGATCATGGTGGTCATTAGAGCGACAAGCGTCCAGTCCGGACCAACTGGTGGGGGGGTGGAAAAAGGTGCCAGTGATACAGATGTGGCCTCATTTGCATCGGCTGGCATTGGTTCTCAGGTTATGTGGGAGTCATGTCGGAACATAGGTATGGCGATGCCTTGCAAGACTACACTCTATAAGTACATACAAGGAGCCGGGGGGCTGTGGGCAAGAATCAAAATTATGGCAATCGTATTATACGGTCCGTATAATACGGTCGTTTTTTTACGGAAGAGTTTTCAAAAATACGCTGTATTTTTTTTAGACATGTTTTGTGGTAATATTTTTCTCTAGCAATCACTGAAATTGTTTCTACAATGTTGTGGAAGGTGCACACTAGCCTAACATAACCACCGAACATAGTGTTACAGGAGACAGAACAATACCATTCCCACTACTACCGTCCACTACTCACTTCTCCGATCCTATCCTTGCCTCTCTCTCTCTCTCTCCTCTTCCTACCTGCAAGCGATGCAACATCCCCTAGCACACAGCATCCTCCTCTCTACTCATCCTCCTCCTCCTCCTCCTCCTCCTCCTCCTCCTCCTCCTCCTCATCCGCCTCCTCCTCTTCCTCCCCACTCGAACCATCACTGATGTCCCAAGGATCCTGGCCATTACGAGCCTTGCTGTGCACGTCCTCCTCCCCCCCTCCACTGTTATTTGCCGCCTCCTCCTCCTCACCCTCTTCCTCTTCCACAGCTTTTGCCTTCCCATTTCCCTTGCAAGGCTTGGTGGCCTTTCCGTTACTCTTCCTTTTAGCGGACTTAGCCACCTTGCTCTTCCTCTTCCCAATGTTCCCGAATTGGTCCCAATTAATGGTGCATAGCTGCTCATTCCCCTCTCCCTCCTCCTCGTCCCACACTTCCTCTTCCTCTGCTACTGCCGGTTTGACGGTACACCCTTGCTTAAGGGCGCCGTTGGCCAGATCAGCATAAAGCTTCTCCCTCACCTCTGATTTCATATCGAATGCATCCCTGGCCCTCCTGGCGAACACCACCTGTGTCACATCCATCATTTTCATGGCGCTGAGGCGGTTACGGTCCTGCCTCTGCACACGTGCAATGGCGGACCAGTAACGCTCCACCTCAGAGGACGTGATTGGCTGTGATAGCACCGTCACAGCCAGCTCCTTGAGCGCTTGCATTTCCCCCCCGTACATCCACCACCACTCGGCATCCGTCAAGCGCCCACCCTCCACCAACACCATTGCTGCCCAATGGCCATCATCGGACCCCAACCGCCCCTCTCCCTTATGAAACTGCGCCAACTGCGCCAACAGCAGCATGCGTTGAGCGACATCCCCCCCACAGGCCTGGATCACCGCTTCCGCCCCAAGCCTTACCTCTTGGTCGTTCCTCACCTCCCCAAGGTGCTGATTGCGGGGGTTGAGAAGCCACCCCATAGCATGGAGTGGATTGTGAAGCTGGCCGTCCCACCTCCTGGCTATAATAGCCTTGATGGCGGTCAGAAAGGCCGGCTTGTCCTTGGCCGGCAAGAGAGACGTGCGTTTCACCATCATTTTGGCTGCCCATGGGGAGAACCAGAGAGCACGAGGTGAGTACAATGGGCGGGAAAGGTACACAATAGTCAGCCCGCACGGCAATTTACATCTTACCTGGCGCCTCGGCCGCATCATTTGTCTTCACCGTGGCGTCTAGCATGAGGCCATAGATCTGGCCCATGACTAGAGCACGCGTGTCAACCACCCGCAGCACTTCATACACGAGTGTCATGAGGCGGAGGACCGCCGTCGCGCAGTCCCAAAAAATCTCATCCAAGAGAAGCAGGCGGACAGCTTTCCCCTCGTCAGACCACGCCCCACCGCCACCGCCTCCCACTCCTCACTTATCACCATCTCCCGCAGCGCTCTCTTTACTTCAAGGAAACGGGTAAGCATGATAACCTGTGTGTCGAAGCGTGTTGCACCGGGCCGCACCAAGGACAATCTGCAAAACAACTCGTAGAAGAGCGTGACGGCGGACGCGCTACCCTTGACTATCATAACCACCCTGTGCACCTAGCTAAGGACCCGCTTCACCGCACGGACATTCCTGTTGTCGTGAAGCATCAAGTCCAGGACGTGCGCCGCACAGTTGTTGAAGAAAACTCTGGGAAAACCGTCACGGAGGATGTCGGCCGCCCTCCAGTTGCTGGACGCATTGTCCATGACCACTTGGACCACCTTCGGATCTCCAGCATTGGCGATCGAGTGGCGGATGGGGCTGGCCAAGTACTCACCCGTCTTCTTGGCGGTCTTGGAGTCTGCTGTCTTCGCGATCGCAGGCGCCGTGTCATTGTGGGCTATGACACACACGGGCCCCCGGCTCTTCAAGCAGGTCCAGCCGTCCACGGAGAGGGTGCAGCCGCTAGTGTTTCAGCTCTCCTTCAGAGGCCGTACAAGGTCCTCAATTTCCGCTACCAGTTTCTGAAGCAGCACACCAGAAACCCTGAAGGGGGATGGGACGGTGTATTGTTTCCTGAAGGCAACAGCCGCATCCACAAAGTTATGCACGGCTTTTGACTTGGACGTGTGGAACGCCCAATCATTATCAGCCACTGTAGCAGCCCATAGGTAGTCTAGTCGAGCGCGTGCATCATCATCCACCATGTCGTGGATGTCCCGCTGCCGAGCACGACGAGCGGGCTGGATGTCAACAGTTGAAGTGGAGTCGTAGGTTGGCGGATTGGTGCTTGTTGAACGATCCGTAGCTGCTACTTCCTCGTGAGGTTTGATGGCGACTTCGTGTGTGCACGGTGTCACATTCTTCTCCTTGTTCTTTGGCGTCCCATAAATGTTCTCTCCAATGCGTGTAGCGTTAGCAGTCACGGATTCGCCGCAGTGCACGCATTTCGCAATCAGAGATCCGTCTGCTCCAATCTCCATCCTAACGTGCTTCTACAGTGGCAACTTTTGCCTCGCCGTTGCGAGTGTCCTGGCTTGCAAGCGGAGTTGGTGGAGCACAGGTAAGGCTAGACTAGTGATATGCTATGAACATGTGCTGGAGTGACCTACCCAAGCTCCTAAGTACCTCGTACTGAGATCTGGATGTGTTTTGTCGAATGGGTTTGGGAAAAGGGTTGAGATCACGGGAGGTAGTATGATTGGTTGGATTGGTTTCGCAGCGCGACTTTTGAGTGTGTCGGGATTGCAAGTGAAAAAGAAAAAGTTATGCGCGAAAATGTTTAATGGAAAAAACGAAACGGGTGATCGAATGTGTACTGTTCGCCAAATGTTGAACTGTTGCGCCATGGCAATTTGTACACGTTGCGCTTCGACGACTTGGCGAAACAGGTTGGCAAAACAGGTAAACTGAGCATTTGCATTTGCCAAATGCCCAAATGTCGCGACGCGTAAAAGTCGTGACATTCGCGACTTGGCAAAATATCACATTCGTGTGTATGGTTGTGAGATAAAATTGACTTGGTGAGAAACCGGGGTGTGAAATTTGTGTTTCCGATATAGAGAAACTCGTTTTCAAATTTTCGGTCGAATTATACGGTCATATCTTTGAACTAAACAATAAAAACAATATTCTACCGTTTTAAACCGTATTTAACGGTCGTATTATACGATTCCGTATTATACGACAGAATTTCAATAATTTGGTCGTAATTTTGAACCTTGGCAATGGGAGACTATTGGGCAACATGCTGCACTACGGATGGAGCGATTTCGAGAGAGCATGGACAAAAGACATGTACCGGGACATTGCATGCGTGTTGATGGTCGATGGGGCCAACTGAGGCGGATTAGTATAGCGTCACATTCATTGATGCCATAACCCTCAAGGTACTTCATTGCGTCACAATATCCAAAACGGAGGAACGTGTCAAGTCTGTAGAGTTAGAAGGTCTAGCATTCAAGTGAGGGTTGGAAGCATTGAGACAATGGGGATTCAAGGTGAAAGGTATTATAACGGATGATGGAGGCACCTGTAAGGCCGTTATTATACGTACTGGTGTCAAAATGTTGTATAGCTTATATTGTGTGGGCTATAGTGGGGTAGCCCATAAGGGGTACAACCCAATTAGGGTTAGTACTTGTACCCAACTCTTTGCTAGTTCATCCATTCTCGTTCATTATTCTGAAATGGTTTCAGAGCAGGTCCTCCGCTAGGACCGTTTTTCTCCTTGGGCCCACCACAGCGCTACCCCGCTAGCCGCCCTCTGCAGCCCTCGTGCTGCCCCTGCTGCCCGTCGTGACCAGTCGACCCTAGGCCCGTCGCCCTAGGTCAGTCGCCCCGGCCCGTTGCCCGTCAACCCCCCCCCCCCCCTAGGCCCGACCGTCTCCCGTCGCCCCTGGCCCCACGGCCCGTCGCCCCTAGCCTAGGCCCCGGCCCCGCGGCCCGTTGTCCGTCGACCCCCCCTAGGCCCGACTGTCGCCCGTCGCCCCTTGCCCCGCGGCCCGTCGCCCCTAGCCTAGGCCCCGGCCCCGCGGCCCGTCGCCCGTCGACCCTAACCTAGGCCCTGGCCCCGAGACCCGTCGCCCGTCGACCCCCCTAGGCCCGACCGTCGCCCGTCGCCCCTGGCCCCGCGGCCCGTCGCCCCTAGCCTAGGCCCCAGCCCCGCGGCCCGTCGCTCGTCGAACCCCCTAGGCCCGATCGTTGCCCGTCGCCCCTGGCCCCGCGGCCCGTCGCCCCTAGCCTAGGCCCCGGCCCCGCGGCCCATCGCCCGTCGACCCCCAATAGGCCCGATCCTCGCCCGTCGCCCCTGGCCCCTCGGCCCGTCGCCCCTAGCCTAGGCCCCGGCCCCGAGGCCCGTCGCCCGTCGACCCCCCCCTAGGCCCGGCCGTAGCCCGTTGCCCCTGGCCCCGCGACCTGTCGCCCCTAACCTAGGCCCCGGCCCCGCGGCCCTTCGCCCGTCGCCCCTAACCTAGGCCCCGTGGCCCGTCGCCCCTAACCTAGGCCCCGTGGCCCGTCGCCCCTAACCTAGGCCCCGTGGCCCGTCGCCCCTAGGCCCCGTGGCCAGTCTCCCCTAGGCCCTTCGGCTCGATCCCCCCTAGGCTCCGGCCCGTTGCTCTCGGCCCCGCGGCCCGTCACTCTTGGCCCCTCGGCCTGTCGCCGCAAGGCCCTCGACCCGTTGCCCCTAGGCCCCGGCCCGTAGACACTGTACGACGCTGTAGTCGCTCGCTACTCCTCGCCTGCCACTGCTGCTCTAGGCCGCCTCCTCCTGCCCTACCTATTCCCAGAGCTGTCCGCCTTTGCCACAGTAGAGGACCTAGTTTCCCACCTTCGCACTAGCGACGCTCGCTACCGTGCTGCCCTCCCCACAGAGTTCCTTGCCAAGAACCCCCCCCCCCCCCCCCCCCCCCCGATGTACATCACTCTCTACTTTATAGTCACCCGCCTCCCTGACTCTCTTCGCGCTGTCAGGGACCATTTTCTCACGCTCGACCCCACAGACCTCACTGTTGACCTACTCGAGCAGCACCTCCTTGCAGCTGAGACTAGTATAGTCGCTGTAGGTGCTGCTCGTGGCACTCCTCGCACACCCTTCTTTGAGGGGTGTTCCCCCTCCCCCCTTGCCCCCTCCTACGCCTCTGCTGCTGCTGCTGACGTCCATGGTGCTGAGGATGTCGGAGCTGCTTCCACTAGTGGGAAGCGCCGCAGCAGCAAGGGCAAGGGTGGCAGGGATGATGGGGGTGGCAGCGAGGGTGGAGGTGGGGGCAGCGGTGGGAGTGGTGGCGGGAGTGGGGGCTCTGGCAGCGGTGGTGGAGGCAGCGGTGGGAGTGGCGGAAGTGGCAGCAGTGGGAGTGGTGGCGGTAGGACTGGAGCTCAGCGTGGAGGTTCTGGAGGGGGCCAGCAGCACCGGCAGCAGCGTCGAAGCGAGACCCCGTCGCCCCAGCAGCTTCGTGAGTGGTTGTTTCAGCGTGGGGCGTCTGGGGGTAGTGTGAGCTGCCCGTATGTAATTCGCACGGGTGGGCAGAGCTGCTTAGGTCTGGTGTTGCGATCTTTGACCTAGACTATGATGCTATTCTTTCTACTATGTATTCTTTGTCTGCTAGTGCTGAGGGTGACTGTTACCGGTATGTGCCGTCTGACCCAGGTATAGACGCTGCTGCTCTAGGTGCTAGTGAGTCTGTTCTCCCTGGTACTGCGCCTGCTGACGCCTTGCACATCTTCACATTGGACTCAGGTTCTCACGTTGTTTCTTTCGTGACAGCACCCCTCTCACTCCTCTCCCTTCACCTGTCCTGGTCCGACTGGCTGGCCCCTCTGGGGGCCCGGTCGCGGCCTGTTCCTCCACTGTCCTCCCATGTCTGGCGGTTCCGTCCGGCTCATTGTCAGGCCTTCATCTTCCCTCGTTCTCTACGAACTTGGTGAGTACCGCTGCCCTCCAGGATGCGATAGTCACTACCACCACTCCTGGGGGTCAGCGTGTGTCGATCTGCACGTGTACACGGACGGGTCATCACCTGGCCACGTTCACTCGTCGGCCAGGGTCGAGACTGTACACACTCGCTACCGAGCCTCCTCAGGTAGCTGCGTCTGCTCAGGTGTCCGCGTCAGGTCAAGTAGCACCCCCTTGCTCGTGTCGCCTCCTGTCGCACCAGACTCTTCTGTGGCACCACCGCCTCGGTCACCCCTCCCTGCCACGCCTTTGTGGCATGCACTCCGTCTCCTTGTCTCTGGTCTTCCCAGGTCTCTGCCTCCCCTCCCACCCTCGCCTGCCCCACCCTGCC